AGTTTATAAACCAATCAGCACTTGGTATGTGATTTGGTCAACATCCTACCAGCTGCCTTTACTTCCCAGGACTCCACCTGGTACCCACTCAAGGCTGGGTCAATCTGGGAGCCAAGGTCATTTTTGAAGAAAGCCCAGTACTGCTAGTACCAGAACCCACGACCTTGATACATAAGTACAAAAGTAAACTAATAATTCAGATATACATGGTTAATATAATATATGTCTGGTAGAAGATAGCAAGAACGTCAAATTATTTGCAAGAACTTCAAATTATCTTTAGAATGACCAAGATATGTATCTTGAGTTACGTGGTACTGAAAAGTTAAAATACATAGTTTTAAAGTGTTTTTTTTTAATATACTGGAGGGGAAAGTGAGTAAGAGGCAGACAGCAATACAAGCGGGAGGATAACATCAAAAGATGAATGAACATCAGTCCCTGTAGAGAGCATATTCACACAGGAAAAAGGACAGAGCAGGTTGGAAATTTATTGTGGCCAACCTTCATTGTGAAGACCACATTCGATTGATTGATTTTTGTGTTACGATTCTATCTAATTTACTTTTTGTTCGGTTTTATAACTTTTCTTTTCTAGCAGATATGTTCACTTCCGGTTAATGCCTAAGATAAAAACCTGACGTGTGAAAAATAAAAATGACACAAGACTTATCACACATGTCTTTATAAAGATGCCAAGGCACAAACCCCTCCCCTCCCCCTTTTCCTGTGCAAAGTAACTTCTGAACAGTGAAGACACGCTAGAAAATCCAGTGGGAGAAACTACAGTCAGAGTCAACATGCAAGTCCCACACTGGGTCCATTAGCCTGCCTTATTTTAATAGACAAACTGAACCTATTTGTATCAAAAGGATCAACAGGGGGGCGGGGGGGGGGGGGGGGGGGTTATTTTATTTGTCATGACTGAAAGGCTGTCATATAGCTGAAGATCAGTCTGCACGTGGAGCATGTCTTTAAGTTCTCAGTCTCTTAACGAATTTGTGAATGAGTAAATGAATAATTGACATCACTTCACTCGGGAAACCGCACAGGTAGTCATCCCCTTCTTCAATAACTAATTAAGAGATGACATGCTAATAGTACCAGTTACTGTTTCCTTCTCAGCATTGACAGATATTATGTCTATGTTGACTGTCCTTGTTGCAGGCTGACAGAAGCACTCTCCGGAACCATCCTCACCTGATGCAGTTGCATCCAGTTTCATACTTAGTTTCTCCTTTCCAAAGCGATAACTGAAAATATTCTCTAGAAGATAAGTTACCAGGTGCTAAGATATTTTATTGCCCACAGTAGATCAGAATATCTATTCTGCCCATCATCATCTTGCTGACTGTTAGATGCTTTTGAAGCCCGTATATATACAATCTGTTACTCGTGTATCCCTTCATGACCTGCACAGGAAACTCCCTGGAGAGTTAAGGCTTTGACTTGAAGTAGCACATCACGACCTCCTGCAGCTTTTCAAATAGGTCGACGGAAATTCCCTTTTTTGTGGAAGTCATAGAGGCCGGTCTGTGTTCACTAGGTTCTAAGTTTAAGCAACGTATCAACATCATGACACAAGGGTAGTAACCCATAAGTGCTCTGTTCTACTTCTCAACTTATTTTTATCGAGTAGATTTACCCACAAATTAAACTACAGTTTAATTAGTTTGCAACACATTTTATTGAATCTACTGCCGGAGGTCACGTAGAACGTGCTGCATCCAGTGGCATTGCAAGATCAGGTGGTACCTGGTGTGGAAAATGTGACAACCCAGCTCTCTACAAACACAAGCACCCTCACACACATTTTTGTCATTTTGGCACCCCCTAGGTAGTGACATTTCTTGTGGCGAAAACACCCACCCCCACATACACACCCTTGCTACATCTCTAGCAGTGGACATACATTCTTAACCTTACTAACTGTGGACTTGCCTTTGTAAGATGTAGTCGCAGTTCCAACTTTATAAAAACGAGTCACTCAATTACTGCTCCATTCCTCCAAAATGCTAATCACTGTCCTATGTGAAAACAACTTAGTTCTGACGAGACCAGCAGTGGTCAAACACATGTAATGCATAAGGTGACTGTCGTAAAGTGGCATATTTTTCCGCTTTAATCAATCAACGAAACCGCTTTTCTAAACACAAATGACTTCTAGAGCAGTCGTATCACATAGCAAAATATGACGAGTCGAATACGTGTGAGTTACATCGATTAACTTGGTAAGGTTGACACAACAAACGTCATCCTTCCATTTCTGAATCTTGGAGAAAAAAAATGTCTACATTGAAAACAGTACACCAACCGAGCATTAACTCTACAACTAGGAGAATGAAAATGTCACAGATTTTGAATATTTAGGCTCGACAATGAACAACAATGGCGACTGCACCCCCCCCCCCCCCCCAGCAAAAGGTAAGTAAACGACTCTTGCTTGAGCAATGCGGAAGAAGGCTAAACAGCATGGAGAACCTATGGTACAGTAATGCAAGCAAGTTAGAGCAAACATGTTGTAATGTTTCTTTTCCATGTCAACTTCTGGACCTGCGTCATTGGCCAACAACAACAACAACAAAAAACCGGAGCCTTTGAACTGAAAAATTCTTTTAAAAAGACCGCGGGCGAAAAAGAAGAAATACATTGACATCCAACGCGATTTGAACTCCAAGGAAAACTGGCTCGTAATCCGCATTCTGGATTAGGGTTTGGGTTATCTTCACGGCACTCCAGACATGCCCATAGATGCTCAGACTCCCCCTTCAACACATATATCAGCGTCCCGCGGTTAGTAGTCCCAGTACCGTGCTGGTTGACAACACTTCCCGTGCGTTCGGTATGTTTCTCCTGTCTGGCTGTGCCAACCTTTACTACCACTTCTTGCACTCTTAGCAAAGATGGGGATGTGCTGCTTCTCAAATTCCTCCGAACATCTTATCTCTCTAATGGCATTAATAATGTCTGCATGATCCATGGGCCATCCCTCTGTAACTAAGGCAGAGCCGGTTAGTCTGTCGGCTCTTTCATTGTCAAAAACGCCCGCATTCCCTTGGACCACGGCCTTCTCCAGTCATTTATATCCTCATTTATATCTAAAGATGGCCGTGCCTTGGACAAAGATGAAGGTAACTCCACGCACAGTGGAGTTTTGCAATGACCCGATCCACTGTCTGCGTATTCTGTCCAGAAAGATGTGGTATTTTGGACATGTCGTCTGGAGAGAAGTGTGATAGATAGTGCAGTTTCCTCTGCGAAGCTGGATACAGTACATTAAAGATGCATTGGCTATGAAAGCACATAGGACTGGAGAATTGGCAAGCGAAAAAGAGACTTTCAGGTGTGCAGTGAAGAGAGACATGTTATGTAAAGTACCTGTATGACAAGTTAGATATTCTGAGAGCCGTTGGGAGCGAGTGAACAGTGCGGAGGCGCAGATGGATCATTACGGTCTAAGGAGAATAGCAACTGCGAGGAGTTACCAGGGGATCAGGCCGACGCTCAACACTGAGGGGCAGGATGAGACGGATATGCAATCAGACGGTTACTGGTACCATCGGAAATGGAACTCTTCGCTTTGCTGTAAAAGATGGGGACTGAGCACTTATGGGAGTGTCTCGAGTGCTGTGATTCTTAATTCAACATTCACGCTGATTGATTGATTTACCTATGTGGAAAATATGGTGTTCACACTATGGAATATTACTACGGCGAGGAAAGCCTAACGTGCCCCAGAAGCGAAACGCTCATTTTATGTCGGTTATCGAAGTTCCAGTTCAGCGGTCTGTTTTATGATAGCGCAACCCGTCAACTGAGAACGTCGCATGGAAACCGTAAATCTCATTGTCCATAAAATCGCATATAACGACCCTATTATATATATATATATATATATATATATATATATATATATATATATATATATATATATATATATATATATATATATATATATATATATATATATATATATATATATATATATTCTTATATATGCATTTCTTTCTGTCTCAAAAGCTGAAATATTTTTGTCATATCAAGCGCCACGACGGATCGGGAAAACTTATAGCAGAAGGCATGGTACCAGGAAGGGGGAGCAGGGTCCGACCAACACGAAGATGGGCACAGGATATAAGTGACTCCTTGAGTATGAAAGTTCATGAAGCTGACGAGAGACCGAGGTTTTTTTCTGGTAGACCGTGATAAGAGCGACGTTCTGCCAAATGATGATGATATTCTAATGTCGGACTGTTTGTGTTAGCACTTCTGATGGCTACCCTATGCTTCTAATGCGTGTGTATGCTAGTGCATATGCTGAGACTGCAGTCTATTAAGCTCTCCACAAGAGACCGCTATTTACACTCTGTGTGTTTTTCGTTGGCACAGGAGCGGAGCAACAGGACCGATCACCGAAGTCAAGCAAAGTCGGGAATGGTTAGTGGTCAGACGAATGACCGCCTGGGAACACATGTTGTAGACATTTTGCTGGAGGTCCCTGGATCAAGCCTCAGTAAATACCGGGAGTTTTTCAGACTTCTGATAATTTCCTCCTAGTCTCTGGGTAGTAAGATCGGACGCCCATTGTGTATTGTTTCGCACGTAAAAAAGCACATTGGCCGTTGGAAATTAACTACCCTTTTTTGAAAAAAAAAGGTTCGGCTTCGTCAGGACCTGAACCCACAACCTTCCGATCCGTAGGCGGTCGTCTAGCCACAAAACCATGGCGGCTCCCAATACCTCTATAAGGGGCTGCATCATCTGCAAAGAGCAGCTCTCTTATGAGTACATTCTAGGGCTTGGCTTTATCAGAGTTTGTAGATGCTGTCTTGGCATCGCGAATGGGTAAATATGTCCCAATTTCAATTTTGACCATGATAACACATCTAATGCGGATACCTTAGGGACTAAATTATTTGGTTACAAACATGAGCTTCCTTGGTTCTCATTTCTAGAGTCTAGCTCTTGTCAATTCGGAGGTAAATGTTACATCTATGAAAATGGCGTCGGAGCCGAGCACCAGGCAGAGACTGCACAGTGTTATTGATGATATGGAGCTTATATCCAAGTAAGTGACAATTTTGACGTTAGGAGTGGAAGATACAAAGAAATAATTTAAACTGTTGACATCCAGTTATTGATGAAGTCACACTGGTGTGCGTTATATTGCATTAAAATTACTCTAAGCCAAAAAAAAAAAAAAGTAAAATGTTAAAAAGCGAGTGTGAGGGTGGGGGGTAGGTAGATACTTGAGTCAAATTTTTTAAATGCCCTCTACACCAATAAAACCAGCACAGTTAGATAGCTGTAAACAATCTCTTTCCAACGGTACCTCATTTAGGCTTGTATGTCATTTCTGTGCTGAGATATGTAGGTTTTTGTGGAGATGAGATGTAAAAAACAGCTGTTGAAAACTTGTGTCCGAGAAACAAGAAGTTTTCTCTGCGCAACCAAACTGCGCACTTTCGTTTTTGCTTTGTTTTCATTGGACAAGATGGCAGACAATTTTTCTCAGACACAGCCACATAATAGCGATTGCCTGAAAAATGTCACTGTAAATCGAATTAGCCATAACTAGGAAAGAAATTTTATATACAAATGTAAAATTGGACGGAGAATTCAATTATAACTAGCATTACCATGTCTGGTAATGTTTAAGGCCTAAAGCCAACCTTGAATAATTTACCGCTATTTTCAATCAAACTGATGTAACAGAAAAACAGAGGACGTCCGGCTGTCGTAGACATGCGCTGTTAATCGGGTTCGTTCCCGCCGTTTTCAGCTATTTATAGCTGGTGAAAATCACACCAATCGCAAAATGTCATGAGAGATTAGGACCCATTCCGAAACCCCAGCCGACATTTCCCAAACAAGTTTCGAACGGTTTCCATGGTAACGGAAATTGCCAAAAAGACCGCAAATTGCTGAAACTGTAGTCGCTAGGGTAGGGGGTATTTTGATCGGCTCTCCTTCAAACTTACCCCCAAAATGGCGACCATAACACATTCTGGCCATAAAATATCCGAACGGTGTTCATGTATATCTAAAATACGGACTTTCTGCCAAGGTATAGATCGCGGCAAAACTAGGATTACTTGACAATCCATATCAACATTGCACACAGTAGTAGCAGACGAAAAATCATAAATACCGACCGTTGACAATTTCTAGAGTTTCTCCAGACGATATGAGCGACTGTTGACAATTTCGAGACATTACAGACGATGAAAGCCGATTAGCAATACTGTGTTCTTCCGATTGGAGGATTTAGCAGCGGTAGATGTCAAACTTGTCTGCATGCGCAAAACGCGATTAAACTCATCGTCGAGTGTATCCCCCGCTACGCGCGGCGCGGATGGGGAGCTAAACTAGGTGCTTGGGACTCACGAGTAAAGTAATTGGAGGAAGTTGCAGGAGATGCAGTAGCTGCTGCTCGTGAGTCCCAGCCATCTAGTTTAGTCCCCATCCGCGCCGCGCGTACCAGCATGGGGAATACGGTCGGCGGTGAGGGCAGACTCGAAGAAGCAGGTCCGCAAGTAACGTATCGCCGAGACCCTATTAGAGCATTTGTTTCATTATGGGGAGCCGGCACATATAATTGTAATAGAACTGAGCCCCATTCGGATAATTTTGGATATTTTATGGCCAGAAATTGGCCAATTTAGCTCTCTTTTGGATGGCATCATAATACAGCCGCCATTTTGGGGGTAAGTTCAAAGGAGAGCCTTTTGATCTAATTGTTCGTTGTTAAATAAATTATTTATAAAACATATTTTTTAATTTTAGTAGATGAGTAGAATCTGTCTCTCTCTTGTCTTCACTCTCTCTCCTCCTCCTCCTCCTCCTCTCAATCTCTCTTGTTCTCTTTCTGAGTTCTCTGTCACTAGTTTCACTTTCACACACACAATTGTGGCACTCTTCCGAATGCCGGTCAAAAATTATTCACTATTATGTTTATCAGATTCAGGGCCTCAGGAGGTCATATAATAAAAAATATTGAATAGGAACACTACACACTATGCTTTGTATTATTCTATAATTTCATGGGAACCAAACTCTTGAGTCTTCGATAGTACAGTTCTGGGTATTCTGCCTGTCACGCGGGTGATCAGTGTTCGATTTCCCACTGGGTGATAACATATTTTTAGCCCTTAAAAGGGTGGTTGGTACGTTGTGTTGTGGTTTACAGCTAGGCTGCGATAGTGGCGATGAAATGCTCAATCGTCATGTCACGGTTATGTAATCTTCGGCTATCCTCCTAATAACGGTCCCAAATTATTGAGGCTGAAAATAAACCTTAACAGGGCCTCAGTCACATGTAAATTGCGGCGACTTAAATTGCGGACTTCTGGCGACTACCGCCACCGCCGAGAGTATCTCCCTCGCGGCTACACGTGGCGTGGAGCAGGACTAGACTAGATGGCTGGGACTCACGAGCAGCAGTTACCGCATCTCCTGCAGCTTTCTTCATTTTATTTGCTCGTGAGTCCCAGTCCGCAATTTACATGTGACTGAGGCTCTGTTAGGGTATATTTTCAGCCTTGATAATTTAGGACCGTTATTCGGAGAATAGCCTAATCTTTCTTTTCGTTCGCCCTGGAAAGGGCAGTTATCACGTTGTGTTGTAGTTTATAGCTAGGCTGCGATATCTGCATCAACACATGCCATTTCAGCAAAGTCCTAATTAGTCGTCTTTCACAACATGCTTTTAGGATCTATTGTTTTGTTTATGTTTCCCTCAAACATGTGGCCCTGGCTGGTGTAACCAATACGGGTGCCCTAAAGGGTGACTAGGGTGTCATAAGACACTGTGAAATGGTATAATGTTGTGTTGGTGGCACATATTGGTCTAGGCGGTACTCCTCAGCTCCAAAAACCACCCAGCACCACTCCAGGGATGAGGTAACTCAAGTACTTGGCGCCACAGATATTCCTGGGCACAACCTGGCCAGACTTCCACACCACTTGATTGCCCCCGGACTGGATAGAATCACTGTCACAGTCGAAACACAGTACACAAGAACTCTGATTGAATAACAATACACACAACAACCTAACTAAAGTAAACTGAAATACCAGGATCAAGATGATGAGATTAAGAATACTTTCAGACAAATTCTGGCTTTGATAGTCACATCGAGAATGATGCCAAGATTCAAACATTCCCCGAACCAGAAGCGGGAAAGATTCCTTCTTCCAGAAGCGGCAGTGGTTCAGCCATGAAAAATGGCTTCGCCACTCATAACAATCACTAGCCTGTGGGTGCAATTACGATATACCTCCCCCAATAGATTGAGGATGGAATAAGGCTCAGTCTCCTATATCCTGACCCGTACTTATTAAAGAAAGACTATTTATCTGTTTCGAAATAGACCACATTTAAATTTAGATAATTAGCATAGAGGGTTACAGGGTGCGGACTGAACAACTAGCATAGGGGTATTTTGTTGGCTAAGTGAAACAGGGTCACTAGGATCTAACGTTTTCGCCTGCCATCCAGATTAAGATTTTTAAATCTCAGTAAAGACTGGTAAAATATGAGGTAGCAATCTGGAGGGGACAAAATGATTGATCTATTGATGAAGCCTTTGTAGACTCATTTCATAATTGCTTGGATTTTACAGCTAAAGATTTCTACAGGATGAGATCTTTTTCTTAGCATTCCCCGGCTGTAAACTCTGGCAAAAAATTCTGGTTTTTTGTTTCACTTCCGGACTTTGGTATAGATCCAGAACTTGAGTTTTGTGTGCACGCCCCTGGGCCTGTGATGCTAAACGCCTTGGGACTCAAAGAGTTAAGGCAGATGCATTCCCGCCTTCAAAGGAAATACACAGTGAGGTATTCAGCCTCATATCAGCCATCATTCATCATCATGTGTGCTGCTTGGCGATGTAGGCTCTCATTCCTTGAAATTTGGAATCAGTTCCACTGATGATATATCGCCATATTCCACTGATTATATGTCGCCATATTCCACTGATTATATGTCGCCATATTCCACTGATTATATGTCGGCATACTGTCACTTCAGGCTGTCAAGCCGTATCTCTCTTGGTCTGGCTCTACCGTTCATTTTGCTGGTCATCAACCCTTATTATACACCAATTTGACAAGCAGTAATATAGCAGCTGCAATCTTCTATAAGCCTGAAGGTTGAGAGTTCACACCCGCATCTAGGTGGTCTCGTTATTCAAATTTCATCTTGGCTCACAGATCATAACATAACATAACCCTTGACCCATTAGGGTCGTGGAGGTGTATTGATGGAAGCACTAGCACATAAAACCAGCCATCTTTTTCTGTCTTCTGCTTGATGAATAAGTGTATGATAACTAAGTCATGCTCCCAGGTCAGCACATCCTAAAGTGAGCACCAGGAAATGTCCTAGGAAGTAAAGATGGCCGGCATGATTTTGATCACTCTCCTATTGAATTCCAATGGGTTTTATTAAAAATATAGTTTCTATATGCTGGATGGGTGATATTTTTAAAGGGTCCTTTACTTACTTAGTTTTATTTACAACACGCATGGTATGTTACAGTTGGATCCCTGTAACGTGTGGGGGAACCATATTAACTAATTCATTGCTAATGGTTTTTCAGGGAGCTTATAGAGCAGTTAGCCATGCCAAAGTCTCAGAAACGAGCAGATGCCCCCGACACAACCGATCTCATGGAATTGTTGATTGAGAAAGATAGCGAAATCAAGGAGTTACTTAAAATAGGTTTGTGAGTGAAAACTATTTCTGTTGTATTTCTTTTTGTCAACACAACTATACATTATGCTACCACTGATAACATCTGACATTGTCTGTTGCTGTTAGAAAACCGATAACAGGTTATATGAAGTGCACTTAAATTGCTGACTTTCTCACCAAGTTGTATGTTGTAAACCAGACATTGTAGTGATGTATGTTTCATCTATAACATGAAATAAATATTCATATCTGGAGAGCGAAACTGTTAGAATTGTAACATTCTTTGTACACCTAACCCTACTGTACAGTAAACAGGCAGTTAGAGGGTCAGATTAAGACCATTAGGTTGTAGATATCCGGATGAGTAGGTTTTGTTTCATTTAAAAAAAAAAAAAACTATCATTGCAGATGCTTAACAGTTTTAGAGCGACTAAAAATTGAAAGATGTTAAAATAAGTTTTTCTTTTATAATGGACAGGTGAAATATTTCAGCCACATTAATAGTCCTAACACTTTAATGAAAACCAAACTGGAGGTCAAATTTGAAGGCAGGTGAGCAAGGGATGAAAAAGTTGAAGGTATATCAGCAAGGGATGAACAGCTTGAAAGCAGGTAAGCAAGGAATGGAAAAGTTTAAAGCATATCAGCAAGGGATGCAGCTTGAAAGAAGGTGAGCAAGGAATGGACAAGTTGAAGGCAAATCAGCAAAGGATGAACAGCTTGAAAGCAGGTGAGCACTGAAGGCAGGTGAGCAGGGAATAGATGATGATACAATTGCGAGAATAACATCAAGAAATGGATTAACTGCAAGCTGTTTGAGAGAGTGTACAAGCGAGACAGAAAATACTGGGAATCCATTGCAGCCCATCATCATTGTGGAGATGGTACTTGATAGATTGATTGACATCCACTGAAGCCAGGTAAATGAAAAACTTTATGTGAAATGAGGTAATAGCTAATAAACACATCTGTTCCCCTATGGGTTCTGGGGTTCCATTGTTGGGGGATGGACCCACTGCTCGCCTGACAAGCATGTCGTAAGAGTCGACTGATTAGGTATGTTTCCTGTGAAGCTAGAGTGCATCCGCCAGACAGGCATGGTTCCTCCCCACAACGCCTAACGGCATAAGTGGAAATTGATGATGAGACAGTCACCTGCTGGTCCAAAGGGCTTGGGTCAGAATCTGCAGCGAGGCATAACATTTTGTTGTTGTTTTTAGATTAACCTAACCCCTCCCACCCCTCGGTCACACGCGGCCTGAAATGGGTACAGGGTAGATCCTGGGAAGTAAAGGCAGCCAGTGAAATGTTAACCACATCATCTGAGTGCTGATTCATCTATACAAATATATGTTTAGCATTATTTGCCCAGTGCACTGGTTAAAACATAGTTTGTAACTTGTACTTTGATATCCCACATGATTTTGCTTCAGCTGAGGAACAAGAGAAAGTTCAGAAAGTTATGGATGGACTAAGGGCAGAAGTCAACAAACGTGATGGGGAGATCCGGCAGTTACAACGGGCTCTTAAGGAAGCTGAAACAATTATGGTGAGTCACTATCGCTATTTCTATAGTTCTTTGCATGTTTTGTCTGAATTGTCTTCCCTACCTTATCCATGTTAAAATAATGTATATTCTTCAGACTTTATGCACTTTTTTGCCCCGAAACGCTGATGATTAAGCTTCAGTTTTGTTACAGATCCTTATAAAGCAAGTATATTGTTGGCTAGTCCCTGACATATCAGGTTAACTCTGTTGGTACTGTTTGGACCTACTCACTGTTTAAGGAGAACCGGATTTGATTGTATATACTAAAAATATATTTTTTTTAAAAACTTTATGGTGTCATAATTCGCCTGAGTGTCGCTGCGGCCCTCACCAGAAGCAGAGAATCGTAACACTGCATCATACCTGACATGTTGTAAGGGGTGACTAAAGGTGGGGTTGGGCTTGTAAAAACAATAGCTATAAAAACCAACCCACCATGGAAAAGTCAAGAACAGAAACAAGCAAAACCTAGACAACCAAGATGAGGGAAGGCTGTTCTACTAGAAGAAGTATGACACGGTGTGGATAAAGCTGAAAGGTGTCCGGATCATTGACGTACCTCATTTCACCTAAGAAAACCTCCAGAATTGGCACCTGGAATGTTAGAACTTTGCACAATGTAGGAAGAACAATGGAAGTATTAAGGGAAAGGAAACATATGATAAGTATTTTAGGATTATGTAAAACTAGATGGACCTTGGTGGGAAAAAGTATTATAAATTCCGGGGAAACTATTTTGTTCCCAGGACAAACAGTGGAAAACCCACAGGGGCATATAAATAAAGGAAGATAAAAAGAAAAACACATGGAGAAGAGAGCTAGAGAGTGAAGTTAAAAAGGTGGGAGGACATGGAGAGAGCTGCATGCGATAGCAAAGGATAGAACGACTTGGCACGGATTGGTTGAGGGCTTATGCTTCATGGGGGGCTTGAAAGGCAGAACAAGAAAAAGATGTCATAATTTGCTTTTAGCCTTTGATGATTGTGTAGCAAGGGGGTCAAGGGAATGTATTCCATTCAATCCTCTGAAACTGAGGTGAGTGACCATCTGATACCTCTGTTTCTGTCTTGCGTTAGTCCCTGGTCAATGGGCAGTTAGTTGAACAAAAAGGGTGATAGGCATCCCTGCCTAAATACTGTGTTAACAAACAGATTTTCTGTTGTATGATTATCCCTGACTACCTTACATTGAAACTCTTAAATAAATTGCTTTGATCACATTTACTATTTTCTTTGGTCGTGTTGTTCTTCATCATGAGTGATGAACACCACTTATATCATGCAAAGTAGTCATAATCAATGATTATGAGTACGAAGGTGGCTGATAAGTCCAATATGAGCTTGGAAAGTTCTTAAGCAGTACTAGCAAGTAGAAGCCGCAGTAAGTGTGGAATTAGTCTGCCTGCGTTTTTCTGTGGTATGCAGTAGTGATGCAGCATCTTCCATAGTGATTCCTTGCTGAATCTGGCCATTCGTGTATTTCTTTATGTGTCTGTTCGGTGGGTACATTGTCTTATTGTAACATCTAGGCTGTACATTCAGTTTTAATTCTTTCAGCCTGAAGCAATTATTACTTTAACTCCTATTCCAAGGAGTTGGGCTCACTAAATAGTCTGAAGGAGTTCAGCAAAGACACTTTAGGGCAGCAGTAGCTAAACTAATAATTATTATAAAAAAGGTTAATATACTGACTGTGTGTGATAGATGACAGCAAGGATATCTTATTTCTTTCAAATGATCAGGGGACATACGGTATTTTTGGTATTAAAAGTTTTCTTTTTTTTTTTTTAAAGTTAGTTGCATGTCCTTTACAGGACGTTGCAGAAAACCCCAGTATTTTTTTAGGGCTGTTGTGGTTTTTTTTAGGCAAGTTTAATGTTCAGTAGGTTGCCATTGCCTTCTGAAGGGTCAGCTCTGGGTACAGTTGTCGAAACCAGCACAAGATAAAAAGTCCGCAGCTGGGAAAATTAACAAACCCTTAATTAGTTGCCTCTGACAACGTTCTTGTTAAGGGCCTACATGTCTTTCTTCTTTTTTTCTCTCTCCAAAATGGGTCCTGTAATCCCTGCGGAGACCTCGAGGATAGTAAATTGATCTTCTTCTATGTTTTACTAAACTAAAATGATATGTTATTCTTCTGGTTTATTGATGTATACACTTGTGCTTTGAAATAATGTAACTGTCATCACAAATGATAAGCGTTCCAGAGATTTTGAAACAAATAAACCAGAGACAGTGAGCCGCCTGTTGGAAATATGTATTAAATGAAGACAAGCAAGTAGAAATTGGTTGGAGGGTAAAGAAGGAAGATATCCCAGTTATCTCACATTGAGCATGGAGGCACTGCGATGGAAGAAGGGCTGGCTGAACAGTTAGAACACTGGGCTCTCATGCGGGAGACCTGGGTTTAAATCCTCAGTTAGGCTGGGGATTTTTCTGTCTGGGGCAAAATAAAATCCTCACCTGCACAGTCGTAGCGACAGCACTAGCCATGCGGCTGTAAATCCTCAGGCTCAACGATCCCCCCTGCCTACACTGCAAAAGTGGTATCACAAAAAAGCAGTAATTGGCAGTTTGACTGAGTAACAAGCAACAAATTATGATTGTCTGTGTTTGTATTGTTCACCAGGCAACCGCTGTCTACCAGGCCAAACAAAAAATGGCAGCTATTAAGCAGGCACAGAACAATAGGATTTCCTCTGAAGAACTCATCAAGTATGCCCACAGAATCAGTGCCAGCAATGCTGTAGCAGCACCACCAAACTGGGGACCAGGTCAGATTGTCATGTGTATTTTTGTAAGAATTAATGTGTTTCTGTTCCATTGTACGCACCATGTCTGATTGTGTTTTCATGAGTTCCAATTGATGTTCTGTATAATTTTACAGCTATATCCTTCTTCAGTAGCTCTAATTTGTTGATATTCTTCTATGCATGGTGCTTTGATCACAGAATAAATAGGGTCAGTTCCAGTTGTGCTGGTCCTTGAGAGAGAAATGCAGAAAATGAGAATAAATTCAGCAAATGATAACCCAGTTTACAGAACAGATAAGTAGCAGTTTCCTGAGTGATCAGAACACTAGGTCTTAATGTAATAGACCCAGGTTTGCATCCCCAGTAAGAATCTGGAGGACTGTTTTGTCTAGAGCTAAAATAAACATCCTGACCTGTGCAGTCTGTGGCGACTGCAGTATCCACATCGCCCTAATTTCACACCTTAAAAATACACCTACCACACACACACACAACCTTGAAAAGTAGTACATACAGACAGTAACGACAGTATCATGGGATGCTGATGTATTAATTGTTGAAGGGGGAATCTGAGCACATATGGATGGGGAAATGTGAGCACCTATGGATGGGGAAATGTGAGCACCTATAGATGGGGATATCAGAGCACCTTTGGCTTGGGGAATCTGAGCCCCTATGGCTGGGGGATTCTGAGCACCTATGGATGGGGACATCTGAGCACCTATGGATGAGGTTATCTGAGCACCTATGGATGGGGATATCTGAGCACTTTTGGATGGGGATATCTGAGCACCTATGGATGGGGATATCTGATCACCTATGGATGGGGATATCTGAGCATCTATGGATGGGGATATCTGAGCCCCTATGGCTTGGAAATATCTCAGCCCCTATGGATGGGGGAATCTGAGCACCTATGGATGGGGGAGTCTGAGCACCTATGGATGGGGATATCTGAGCACCTATGGATGGAGGATCTGAGCACCTATGGATGGGGATATCTGAGCACCTATGGTTGGGGGAATCTGAGCACCTATGGATGGGGGGAATCTGAGCACCAATGGATGGAGATATCTGAGCACCTATAGATGTATCTAGAGTGTCATGAAGATAACCCAACTCATAACTCAGTGGCACATTTTTTTTTTAAATTCAGTACAGAATACATGCAAATTAACATCATACAATCTGTACCAAGAGACAATTGGTATTTGACGCATTATTCACTCTACTTATTCCTTTTGCTCAGGTGATGCTAGAAGACCATATCCAACAGATCTAGAAATGCGTCACAGTTTTTTGTCAATGGGAACCTTTCCTGAAACATCAGCTTCTACAGCAGCCACTCCAGCACTGTCTAGAATGTACTCACAAGGTAAGAAATCATTTAAAGTTGTAGGCACAGATAGGTCATTATGGTCTGTAGAGAATGGCATTGCGAGGAGATATCAGGGAATTTGCCCGACGCTCAGCACTCAAGAGAAAGGCTAGAGGGATGTACAGTCAGACAGTTACTTGTACTATCGGAATTAGAACTCTTTGTTAGCTGCTGACGATGGATATGGAGCGCTTATGGGAGTATCACAAGTGCTGTGATGTCAATTTTTAATTCAACATTAAGGAATTGTGGAGAGAACAAACTAACAGTAAAGATCCACAAGACCCCATCAGCAGACTCAACAGAAAGCAACATACAACAATTTTCCGTCTATGAACAGGACACTGCAGGCTCAACTACCAAATGCATAAAATAAAGATTTAACAGTCCCCAGAGTGTGCCTGTCAAAAAGGACCACAAACACCTGAGCACATTCTGCTGACCTGCCCACTCTACCTACAGCTTCGAAAAAACACCAGACCTCAAGAGCAAAGTTTGCAGAGCAAGCTTTGGGGAACCATGAAGGACCTTCTACTGACATGGGAGTTCATAGAGGCAACCCACCTGATGATCTGAGCATATGAAACCCAACCTAAAGAAGAAGGAAGAAGAAGAATTCAACATTTAAAAAAATAAATTTTTAGTGTTATGTTTGCTGGGTGAAATGTGTTTACCGGGTGAAGCGTATTGTGGTTGAAATTGTTTTCTTATTTGTAAATTCTCCATTTATATTTTATGTCTTCTTTGGACATTGCTAGCATTATGTTGGTGGAGTGACAGTGTTATGTACAGGTGGGTCTGGTCTGTTTAGTCATCCCTGGAAGTGGTCTTGCTACCATTACAGTTTTGCTCCTTTGTTTTTATTTTCAGAGGCAGATTTCAAAGTGATACAACATTTCCGTTCAGTTTCATGGTTATGTTATAGAGTATTTTAATGTCCATCCTATTCACCGCTTTCCCTACTTCTGTTATGAGCTTTTCCATATAAGAGAATTTATCTGTTTTTGCAGATCAAAAAGAATTTCCTTACCCCTGACATATTTTTTCGATGAAATAACTTGTAACTTTTTATTGTTCAAGACAGGACCGTGCGGTAGATTTTTTTTAAAAGTATGATGCAAGTCTTCGAGATGTGACCACTTAAATGTTTTTCTTTAAAATTATTGCAGTTTGATTTTCTTGCTTATGCCACTAATGTACGTGGACGCCGCTCTCTGTATCATGGCACGGCCCTGGTCCAAAATTTGCCCTTAAATGTTTTGATGTAGACATTGAAGCTGGAGTGGCTGCTCAGTGATTAGATGCTGGGCTCTCGTGTTAGAGACCCAGGTTCAGATCCTCAATATTACTTTTTCTGGGGGGGGGGGGGGGGGGTCAGAAAATATACTCAGTAACCTTCACATTTTATGGTGACAGCACTAGCCATATGGCCCTAAATCCTTAGGCTTAAGGCCCTACGACGGCCTACAAATTATGTTATTTTGTCACAATTCACATCACTGCACACTGGGAATTCCTATGCAAGTTGACTCCTCTGATGCAGCAGCCACTCCAAGGTACCTCTGCTTACTGTTCCCATCAGAAGTTGGTTATAGTGTCTCCTGTCAAGACCTCTAAGACAGCATAAACATGCTTCACCAGGCTGTACTCTCATGTCATACAATCATTTTAGTCGCCTAAAAAAGAGGTACAATAGATAGTGAAGCCAGTTGTTTTATTTATGTTTTTGTGTGTTAAATCTTTTTTTTAAATTGATTCCTTATTGAATCATTTCTGAAATCTTCATTTGCCTCTGACAGATTCCCAGCCATCATCGCAGCACCATCACCAACACCAGACCCCACCGCAACACAGCCTACCCCACCACCACCACCAGCCTCATCACAAGTGGGGGGAGCAGCCAGGCATACCCCCCACCTACGGGTGGCAGTCCTCACAGGAGCCATCCTTGTCCCTGACCACCCACCACAGTATCAGTGACAGCTTGAAGGGCTACAGTAAAGAGGAGGATGACGTGGAGCTCATGTCTAGCGACTCGTCCAGTAGTAGTTCTAGTGATGAATGATTTCTGACAAGCTGGTGTTGGCTTGATTGTTGGTATGAGATGGGTCTAATATTGGTATGTGGTGGATAGGGTTGGTATCTGTTGGGTTAAGTGTTGGTTGAGTGTTGGTATGTAGCAGGTTGAATGCTGGTATGTGGCGAGTTGAATGTTTGTGGTGGATTGAGTGTTCTGGTATGGGTAAGCAGTGTCTGCTAGGGTGGTTCATGCTTCATTGATTGTTCTGTATGGATGAGCGGTGTCTTCCAGAGGGTTTTATGCTTCACTGATTGTTCTGTATGGGTGAGCCATGTATTCCAGAATGGTTCATGCATCATTGATTGTTCTGTGTGGGCAAGTAGAGCCTTCCAGAGGTGGCGCACATTCTGATTGATTGTTCTGTATGGCTTCAAGAAAGTTACATTTTTTGTTGAATGTTATGTGTGGGTGAGCAGTGAAAGTCAGAATGCTGCATGCTTCATTGATTGTATGTATCAGTGTCTTAGTGGTACATACTAATATTTGACAAATGCATGTGAGCACTTGAAGTTGATGTAAAAATTTGATGTTCATTGATTGACATGTTACTAATACGAAAAATGTGTGCAGAAGAAACCGCAGATTGTAACTTTTATCAGTTTGTACTGGGCACAGCTGGGATACAAGGCCATGGGAGTGTTTGAAAAGAAGAGATACAAATCTGTGGAACAGGTTCTTCTTTTTTTTCTTCTTCTTCTTCTTCTTATCCTCCTCCACCTTCTTCATCCTTTCCTTATTCTTCTCCTTCTTCATCTTCACATTCTTACATTCGCCTGAAAAACATTATTATGCAATGTTGTCTTTAGTATAAACTTCACTGTCTTTTGAAATTCACTCAGCGTAAAGTTTGGCTTGCATGGGTGTTTCTCTTGGCCAAAAGTTTTTTGTCTTGATATTTTGTGTTTGGGACAATCTTGGAGGACGTAATCTAAAACATAAGTAGAATGAAAACAGGACACCAAGAGGATGTCATTAGTCAATACAAAGGTCAAGTAGTCAAATTTATTGCAGTGGTGACATATTAGAGGGCCAGGGATAACTGGCTTATATATTTAATGTCTCTGAAACTAAAAATACTTGTTTGCATTCAAGAAACATGCCTAGGACAAAGCTCTACATTGCCAGGCTTGACCAGTGAGTGTATAAATGAAGCAGAAATAACAGGGCTTCCACAGGGATTTTGAGAAGACAGGATCGACCAGTGACATGAACATTAAAGAAGAAGACAACTACAGCACTGCCATCATGCACCACTGAATAATCCCAATCTGAAAGAAAGAAAAACCTCACCATATTTACCAGTGTTTTTGTGGCGGTGTAGCCCATGGAGGTCTGAAGCCTGAGAATGAACAGCCTCATCCTTGGTCAGCTGTTCATCTCAACTTCTTAACCCCACAAGATCATAGCTGATGCCTGAAAGAGGCAACAACGAAAATAACAAACTCATAGGCGTATCACTTCCACTAAGATTAAATGCACAACCCTTTGTAGGAAACCAATTTGCTGGAGTTTTTTATAGTCAGTGACTTAACATAAGGTGTAAAGTTATACACAACATTGACTGGAAATCATGAACATCCAGACAAAGAAAGATCATTATGATCTGAAGAGAATGGCGCTCCGAGGAGTTACCAGAGAATCTGGTCGACACTCAACACTCAAGGGAGAGGCGAGACGATATACAGACAGTTACTGGTATCATCAGTACTTGAACTCTTCGCTTGCTGCTAAAGATGGGGACAAAGCGCTTATGGGAGTGTCGTGAGTCCTGAGATGTTGATTCTTAATTCAACATTCTTGAAAATCCAATCACATGTGGTACCCAGCTAGGGACAGGAAAAGTTCTCTTACAGACCACCTACATTAGATTCCATGGGGGGGGGGGGGGGGGGAACAAAAATAGAGCCACTGCCTGCCCAAAAGCATGTCCTAAGAGTTGACTGATTGGGAGCTTCCTTCAAAGTACATCTGCCTGAGAGGCAGGGAACCAACAGTCTGCATGCAAATGAGTCAGACCTGTGAAACGGATGGACATGTAACACTCAGGTTCTGGAACAGGGCTGCAGGGCTATCCTCCGAATAATGGTCCCAAATAATCAAGGCCGAAAATATACCCTAACCCTAAGAGGGCCTCAGTCACATGTAAATTTCGGACTTCGGCACCTTAAATTGTGTACCTCCGGCGACTGCCGCCGAGAGTATCTCCCACGGTGCTGCGCGCGGCGTGGAGCGGGGCTAAACTAGATGGCTGGGACTCACAAGCAGCAGCTACCACATCTTCTACAGCTTCCTTTATTTTATTTGCTCGTGAGACCCAGCCATCTAGTTACGCTGTGCGTAGCGGCATAGAAGATACTCTCGCCGGTGGCTGTAGTCGCCGGAAGTCCGCATTTTACACGTGATGAGGCCCTGTTAGGGAATATTTTCGGCCTCGATAATTTGGGATTGTTATTCGGAGGATAGCCGGACTGCAGTCTAGAAGTGGACGAACTGCCGGAGTTTGCAACCAATGAACGCAAAGAAGAAGAATACACATGACAATCTGACCTGGTCCCCAGTTTGGTGGGGCTGCTACAGCATTGCTGGCACTGATTCTGTGGGCATACTTGATGAGTTCTTCAGAGGAAATCCTATTGTTCTGTGCCTGCTTAATAGCTGCCATTTTTTGTTTGGCCTGGTAGACAGCGGTTGCCTGTTGAACAATACAAACACAGACAATCATAATTTGTTACTTGTTGTCTGTATCGATATCCTAGTGCATCAGTCCAACCCATTCGTGCTCTGTCCTCCAGTGCATCAGCCATCTCAGTGTCAAGCTGCCAATTACTGCTTTTGTGATACCACTTTTGGGGTGTGGGCAGAGGGGTCTTTGAGTCTGAGGATTTTGGACCGCATTGCTTGTCGCTATGACTGTGCAGGTGAGGATTTTATTTTGCCCCAGCCTTACCGAGGATTCGAACCCGGTTCTCCCGCATGACAGCCGAGTGTTCTAACTGTTCAGCCAGCCCTTCTTCCATCGCAGTGGCTCAATGTGAGATGACTGGGATATCTTCCTTCTTTACCCTGCAACCAATTTCTACTTGCTTGTCTTCATTTAATACCTATTTCTAACAGGCGGCTCATTGTCTCTGGTTTATTTGTTTCAAAATCTCTGGAACGCTTATCATTTGTGATGACAGTTACATTATTTCAAAGCACAAGTGTATACATCAATAAACCAGAAGAATAACATATCATTTTAGTTTAATGAAACAGCAGAAGATCAGTTTACTAACCTTGAGGTCTCTGTGGCGATTACATGGCCCTATTCCGGAGAGAAAAAGAAGAAAGACTCAACAGTCCCTTAACAAGAATGTTGTCAGGGGCAACTAGTTGACGGTTTGTTAACTCTTTCGATACCACAAATACTCACCATATGTCCCTTGATCGTTCAAAAGAAATAAGATATCCTTCCTGTCACCTATCACACACAGTCTGTATATTAACCCTTTCTATAATCATTATTAGTTTAGTTACTTCTGTCCTAAAGTGTCTTTGCTGAACTCCTTCAGACTTAAGTATTTATTGATTCTAATCATAACTCTTTGGAATTTGAGAAGTTAAAGTAATAACTGCTTGAGGCAGAGAGAATTAAAACAATGTACAGCCTGGATGTTACAATAACTCAATGTACAAACCCAATACACATGTGCCGAAATATAGAATTTCAATTATTTTTATTTATTTGTCATTCACCATATTTATTATTATTACCTATTGTTGTTGTTATTACCATTAAAAAAAGTTGTGAATCTTCTGGCGTTGTTAAAAGCTATCACATCGTGGAATACAGAGCATGCGTCTTTGTGGGTGAGATCGGCGAACACAACCCGACACCCCCTGTAACAGAAAGTCGCGTGTGTGAAAGTTCAAGAAGCATGAATGAACGGCTGGCACACACATGGTGTGTGTGCGCCGGAGTTCGTTACTTGTACTCTGAACAGATATATCAGCCAAACGAAAAGTAGAACTAGTCAGCTTCACATTATTACAAATCATAAGTGAGCGCTGTGGCCAGAACACCTTCGTCAGGACGGTACATGTGTAGACAATATAACAGTTTCAAACAAGAATGAACAGTCACTTCAACCATAAAATGAATTAGGGGAGCCGCTACGGTCCGGCGGCTAGATGCTCGCCTGCGGATCGAAGGGTCGTGGGTTCGGGACATTTTTCAAACTGACCTTGGCTCCCAGGTCAACCCAGCCTTGAGTGGGTAACAAGTACAGTCCTGGGAAGCATAGGTGGCCGGCGTGGTGCTGTCCACATCACCTACCGAATGCCTATTGGTCTGTAAAATATAGATCTAGCCCTATATGCCCATTACGTATGAAGGTGTAAAGGGTCTTTTATTTAACAGATGAAGTGGTCGGGTACAAACAGTCAGCAGCTGTTCTGGGAGGACGAGAACGAGACAGGTGAAATTACCGAACTGCAGCGAAGTTATACAATGTATCATAAAAAAATATCAAATCAAACAAGTAGAACCAGTCAGCTTTTCATTATCACCAGCAAGTGAACGTTGCTGCTAGAAACTCTACGTCAGCACATTACATGAGTGGAAGAGTTCACTTTTGCTTTAAAGTCTAGCCGGATTACCAACATGTGAACTCCACCCCGCCCAACTCCCGAAGTTGTCTACGCCTCTGTATCCCCTGTCAAAAGTTGTCAATACCTCTAAACGAATTAATATCCTCGCAATAAGACCCACGACCCTTCCGATCCCTAGGGTTGTCAAACACGATATTATTACAAAAATCACGTGACATCCACACATAGTATATCTTTTCATCTTCATATCAGTAACGATACGCGATAGATACCCGGCGTTACCTCGTTTGTTCTCAACGCTTCAACGCCGCTCCACGGGGACTAAAAATGAACAAGGTAACGCGCCAGTGTGGAGACCATTCAGGCTCACGGAAGCGTGCATAAAGTTTCGAATT